GCACACATCGAGCCCCTTCATCCTGAAATACTTCAGCTTGCATCTCCTAAGAACTCTCTTCCATAACCATCTAAAAGAAAAACATTCTATTTCACAATACTTCTGATACCAAATATATGAGTTTTTCCTTCATATTAAACAATTCTCCAACTCCCCAGACACCAACAAGGTGTCCTACAATTCAACTCTGACACTGGCTACCCAGAGTTGGCACAAACGGCGCAGGTGAAGGGCTCAGCCTCACACGACTGCCCCCACTGCAGGTGCCAATCGTAAGTTGCAGGTTGCCACCTGTGCTTCTGTCCAACTGGCTCTAAATCAAGGGTTCCAAGACCCCTTCTCAAGTTCTGTGGTTTGCTAGAAAGTCTCATAGAACTCAAGGAAATACTTAGGTTTACTGGTTTATTATAAAGGGTATAATAAATGATACATATGGACAACCAAATGGAAGCAATGCATAGGACAAATTATGTAGAAGGGGTTTCTCAGGTGAAGTGCCACCCCAGGTCTTTTCAGCCCTGTCCTTTGTCTACCTGTCTGTCCTCAGTTTTCTGAAGTCCCACTTTTTCCTGAAAAACCTGAGTTATGCCTGGGTCTCTGAATGTCCCAGCTTTTCACGTGCTGTTCCCTCTGCCTGGCACACCCTTCCCTAATCTTCCCCTGGGGTGACCCAAGCTCGGCTCTGCTGTCCACTCCTTAGGAAGCCTTCTCTGATGCCCACCACCCGTCTCTGGGCACACGTGCTCCCCTGAGCCAGCTCCTGGGGTGCTGGTTCATTAGCGTGGCAGTCACTGCAGTGGACTTGGGAGGGGCTGTGCGCATCATCCATCCTCTCTCAAATCCTCACCCAAGCTGGCCTCTGAGAGCCTTGCTAAGAGTCGGTTGAACTGACTGCTGCTGCCTGGAGCTCAGAGAAGGGAGCATGGCCCGGTGTGGGGTTGGACAGGGAGGGTGCAGTGAGTGGGGGGAGGAGAAGGCCTTCCACCTGCCCATTCCCACGCTGGCACTAAAGGAGAGACCCCCCCGGGAAGGCCCCAGGGCAGCCTTGTGGTCTGCGGTTCCGCCCACTTTCCTGGAGCCTGATGCCCACGGCCCTGCCAAGGCCCAGCCTGGCCAGGGTGAGCTGAGGACACGCTGAGCTCCGAGTGCCAAGCTTTCTGAGGCTCTCACTGAGTGGCACTTCCGTGGGCTGGCCCAGGGCTCAGCACATGTGTGCCTTGGCCCATCTTGTCTCCAAGATGCCTCCGGCCAGGTGCTATTTCCCATGGGAGGCTGCTGAGGCTAGGAGAGGGTACCTCAACCCTGTGAGGAGGGACTGTTATTATTTTTATTGAACAGATAGGGAAACCAAGGCACAGAGAGGTTAAGCGACTTGCCCAAGGTCACCTAACTAGTAAGTCGTGGAGCCAGGGTTCTAACTCAGGCATTTGGCCACGGAGCTTTTACACGCTTCGCTCTCTAGCCTGATGATGAGGGTGATGAGGACGAGTGCCAAAACGCTGTCCCCTCTCAGGACACAGTAGGCCACTGTTTGCAGAGTTTTTGTACACTCGGTACATCATCTGCCTTTCAGCCCAGGGAAGACACAAAGATCACAATCCCCATTTTACAGAAGACAAAATTAAGACCAGGGGGAAGGTAAGGACTTGCCCAAGGTCACTCAGCACGTTAGCTGCAGGGCAGGGCTTGGGCCTCAGTTTTGACACAAGGCCTGGGTCCCCGTTGGCCCCTCTGACCGTCTGGACACACTGAGTTTGATGTATGTCTGAGGAAAGGGGCTTTGGGCACCCAGGGTGGGCGGAGAGTTCTAGGCTGGGAGGCAGGAATTTTGGGAGAGAGGCCCAGTTTTGCCTCTGGCTTGCTGTGGGAGCCTCAGTTTCCTCATCTGTAAAATTAATGGCCCGGATCTGTTGGTCTCTGAGGGCCCTTCCAGCGTGAACCACAGCGTTGCCTGCCCACCTCATTAGTGCAGCCGAGTGGCCCCATTTCCCCTGCAGGATATTTTTTTCCACCTACTGGTGGCTTCCTCCCTCCCATCCGATGTGGCCCCAGGAAGCTGGGGAAGGTGTCTAGCCAAGCCCAGAGTGTCACACCGGTTCAGGGTTTGGGCCTCCCACTTAATCTGCCTCACCACGGGACCCGGTGAGCACTTACTCTATCCTGCTTCTTAGTGGAGCAGTCAGTCATCTGTCTGTCTGTCTGTCTATCTCTCTTTCTAGCAGGAGTGTGAGCTCCTTGAGGGCAGAGGTCACATGGAGAGGTCAGAGCTTGACGAGTAGTGAGCTCCCTAGTTCTGGAAACCAGTGTCGGGGGTGTGTGTGGCAGGGATGTTGGGCAGGGGACAGAGTGGAGCTGGGGGGCGGGGTTGAATGTCCCCAGGCCCCTCCCCCTCCCGAATCTGAGCCCCGTGGCCTGTGAGAGGACCGGGAGGCTCTGTGCTCTGCGGGCAACCAAAATAGAACAAAGAGGCATGAAACCGACTCAGTGAGGATGTCTCTCTTTGTGATATTTGGGCAGATACTGGCCTGAGGGTGGGTAAACTCAGAGATCCCAGGGTTTTTGCACGGATAGGGTCCCCTCTCTGCATGAGCCACATTGGTCACCCACACTGGGGAGGCCTCCGTGGGGAGTCACATCCCCCCCACATCACAATGATGTCGGTGGAGTCCTCTGATGTTGGCTTGCTTGCTGGCCGGGAGGATGGCCCGTCTGGAAGCAGGTTTACAGCTGCTTCTCACCTCGTCTGAAAGCAGCCCTGGCTGTGGCTCTGGCCCAGCTCAGTGTGATCCCCATGCCCCAAAAGCTGGCAAGGCAAGGTTTTCCTCTCTCGTAAACAGATGAGGAAACCGATGTTCCAAGGGTGTGAGCATGTAGGTGGCAGTCACAGAGCCTGGCCTGAGGCTCAGTGTCCTTCTTAGTGGCCCTGCCATGCCTGTGACAAAGTCTTCACATGCAGACGAAACCAGGACACGCAAGGCCTGGAGGAAGCATGTTTGGGAAGGCAGGGATGCCAGAAGGGGGATCATTCATAGCAAATATGTCTGGAGCCTGAGCCAGGGCCATCTGCCATGTCTTAGACCATTGAAATGGCTACACTTCCCAAATGCAGATCCCATACCAGGGTGCTTGCAGCTGCCCCCTCATCTTTGACCTTGGGTCTACTTGAACTGGAAGAGCCCCAGGGACTTCTCACAAGTGTCAGTGTCTCTCAAAGAGCTCGGGCCCTTTGGAGTTAGACCTTTCCCTCTGTGTGAGCCCCTCACCCTCTTTAAGCCTCAGAATGAGCCCCCTGCCTCAGGGGGCACAGCACAGAAGCAAGATGCTGCTGAGAGCCAGGTCTTCTGAAGCTGGCTGGAGTCAGCACAGGGTGAGGTGGCGTTTCCTCTGGGGAGTGAGGCCCAGAGAAGTGGCAGGAAAGACTCAGCCTCCTAGGGATTGGGGGTGTGAGCGGGGGGGACCTGCCCTCAGGCTCCTGCCCTAGCATTCTGGGAAGCTCTGGGCCCCGCCAGCCCCACGGGAGTTGGAAGAGGCTTGGAAGCGAGTTCGTCACTAGGCAGATTGTTCACTTCAGCTCAGCAAATTTTATTCCTGTGTTAAGTGCCGGGA